TTTCTTCTTTTATAGAATCCCCCTTAAAATTCCTTGCAGGGCTGACTTGGGGATCGCATATTCTTTCAATTTCTGCTGGTCCTGGAAGCTCTTGGTCTCTCCATCCATTCTGATTGAGAGCCTTGCTGGATAAAGGATCCTTGGCTGCATGTTCTTCTCATTTAGTACCCTGAATATGTCTTGCCAGACCTTTCTGGCTTGCCAGGTCTCTGTGGATAGGTGTGATGTTATTCTGATATGTTCCTCCCTCCATACATAAGAAATCTCTTCCCCCTAGCTGCTCTCAGGATGGCCTCCTTGGTTCTAAGATCTGCAGGTTTTACTACTATATGCAGGGGCATTGGTCTGTTCTCATTGATCTTGAGAGGGGTCCTCTGCCTCTTGGACACGAATGCTTGTTTCCTTCCCCAGATTAGGGAAGTTCTCAGCTATGATTTGCTCAAATATGCCTTCTAGTCCTCTCTCTCCACCCCTTCAGGGATCCCAATAATTCTGATATTGGAACGTTTCATGGTGTCCTTGATCTCTAAGTCTGATCTCATGGGCTTGTAGCTATTTATCCTTATCCTCCTCAGCTTCCTTCCTTTCTATCAGCTTATCTTCTAGATCACTAATTCATTCTTCTGCCTCATTTACCCTGGCTGTAAGAGTATCCAGTTTGGACTGCATCTCATTCATAGCATTTTTAAGTTTGGCCTGATTAGATCTCATTTCTGCCTCAGAGATTCTATATTGTCACTAATGGTTTTCTCAAGCCTAGCTACTGACTTCATAATTGCTACCCTGAAGTCTTATCTCTGACATCTTGCTTATATCCATATCCATTAGGTCTGTGACAGAGGCCATTGTCTCTGGTTCTTTTCTTTGTTGGGAATTCCTCCTCCTAGTCATTCTGTTGAGGGATGGTTGAGGGAATGTACTGAATCCAAAATGTCAACCATGACCCAAGAAAGATGCACCCTAGGAAAATCCAGAGCAGTTGGAAGCCACCGCTGAAAAGATAAAGCCAAAATAAAATACAAGAATAAAATTTATAGAATTTTTTAAAAATTTAGGAAAAAAATTTTTTCAAGGGTGGGGTGAGGGGCACCTGGGTGGCTTAATTGGTTAAGCATCTGCCTTCAGCTCAGGTCATGATCCCAGGGTCCTGGGATTGAGCCCCACATTGGGGTCCCTGCTCAGTGGAGAGCCTGCTTCTCCCTCTCCCTCTCCCTCTGCCTGGGGCTCTCCCTACTTGTGTTCTCTCTCTCTGTCAAGTAAATAAATAAAATCTTTGGAAAAAAAAGGGTGGGTGAGGGGAATCAGGACTATAGTCTCTCAGTGTGGACAAAGTAGGGTGTTTCAGTTGTTCTTGGGTGTATTTTGTTCTGTTTGTTAGAGGACACTACTTCCCAAAATTACAGGGAAAGTAAAACTTGTATATATATAAAGGTAAAATTGAATAGGGAAAAAAGGACTACAATGAAGCATATATCTATAAAAAAAATAGGTGTGAAAAAGTACAAGGTAAAAAGCTACTATGAAATATATTAAACATCTAGTTGAAATGAGAAAAAGGTAAAAAGAAAAAACATAGACGAAGCATAAGAGAAAGAATAAAGGAGAGTTGTATCTGAAAAATAAACAAGCCATGAGGCAACTACTAGAGCTCAATATAGTATTTTCCCCTGGTGTTGGGACTTTACATTTTTATGGGGACCCTAGGTTTGTCATCCTCTTGTTCTTCCAGACTGTCTTCTGGGGGAGGGCTCTGCTGCACTGTTTCTCAGGCAATCCTGCCTGGGCAGAGTTGCCCTGCACCCTGTCTGGGGCCTTGGCTCCTTAGAAACCGTTTTTTTGAGATTTTGTTTTCTGGCGGCTTTCCATGCCTCTTCTGTGGGTCAAAGCAAAAATGGCCGCCCCCAGACCTCTGTCCCAGAGCAGAGAAATCACAGTCTGTTCTCTTCACTAAACCCTCCAGAACGCAGTCTCTGTTTCCATATGCACCTCTGAAAACCACAGCTACCCACAGTGCATGCCCACAGGGACTCTCTCAGAGGTCGACCCAGGGACCGGTGTGTGTCCCTGCCTTTTGTGCTTCTAAAACTGTGAGTGGTTGTGGGCTCACAGGGGCTCGCAAGTGTGCACCCACAGATCCTGGATCCTGTGTGGGGGCTGCTCTAAAGCCTTTTCCCTGCCACTACTGCTCTGCGAGTTTTTGCCCATTCCAGGCGCAGGACGCTTTTGTCCTCCAGTGTTAAATCACTTTTCAGGTGCCAGCTTATGGAGGCTCCCTCCCCCTTCTGTTTATCTTCCAATATCTCCCTGCAGATTCATGACTCACCCCTTCCTACCTCAAGACAGGTGATGTTTTTCTGCTTGTAAAGATCCAGATATATATTCTTACATCTCAGGCTGATTTCATGGGTGTTCAGAATGGTTTGGTAGATATCCAGCTAAATTCAGGGGACCAGTTGAAACAAGGTCCCCTCCTCTTCCACCATCTTGCCTCTTCTCTCATCTGTTTATTTTTTAATCTGATTGTGTATGTGTTGCATGTGTGTATGCATGTTGAGTTATGTAAGTTCTTTATGTATTTTCAATATTAAACACTTAATTAGATTTGTCATTTGCAAATATCCTCTCCCATTCACTAGGTTGCCTTTTTGTTGTATGGCTGTGCAGAAGCTTTTTATTTTGGTTTAGTCCCAATAATTTATTTTTGCTTTTGTTTTCCTGGCCTCAGGAGATATATCCACAAATGTGTTGTTAAGGCCAATGTCCAAGTGATGACTGCCTGTTTTATTTTAGGAATTTTATGGTTTCAGGTCTCAAATTTAGGTCTTTAATCCATTTTGAGTTTATTTTTGTGTATGGCATAAGAAAGTGGTCCAGTTGCGTTCTTTTGTATGTAGCTGTCCAGTTTTCCCAACACCGTTTATTGAAAAGACAGAATATATTGTATATTCCTGCCTCCTTTATTGTAGGTTAATTAACCAGATAAGTGTGTGTTTATTTCTGGGCTCTCTGGAGGACATTATGCTAAGTGAAATAAACCAGACAGAGAAAGATGAAAACTGCATGATCTCACTTCTATGTAGAGTCTTTAAAAAGTTGAACTCATAGTACCAAAGAATAGAATGGTGGTTACCAGGTGCAGGGAGGTGGGGAAAGTGAGAAATGTTGGTCAAAGAGTACAAACTTTCAGTTATAAGTAAGTTTTGGAGACCTACTGGTTGCCACAAATACTGCATGGTGACTATATTTAATAATATACTGTAAATTTGGAATCTGACAAGAGAGTAAATCTCAAGTGTTCTTATCACAAAAAAAGTAAGTATGTGAAGTGATGGATATGTTAATTTGCTTGATTATGGTAATCATTTTATAATATATACATATATCAAAACATCATGTTCTATACCTTAAACATATAATTTTTGTCAATCATATTTCAAAAAGGTGGGGGGGAAGCTGGAAAGTAAGAAGATAAAAAGAAAACAAATGGACTAAATATAATCCATTTGACACTTTTAAGAGAGTGTATGTATGTTTGTGCCTTTTTATAAAGGTATGTGGAAAATATCAGTACTCTAGGTAGTAGGAATTTTGCCTTGCACTTATTTATATTCTCTAATGTTTTCCTAATGAAAATTTATTACCAATAAACAAAATATGAAAACAAAAAAACTTAAGAAAAATGAAAGAGAAAAATATTTAATGATTATATTTTAAAAGCACAATAGTCCTCAGATTTTAGTATCAAACAAAAAACATGCTACAAGAATATCTTTTTTTTTAAGATTATTTATTTATTTATTTATTTGAGAGAGAATGAGATAGAGCATGAGAGGGGGGAGGGTCAGAGGGAGAGGCAGACTCCCCACTCAGCAGGGAGCCAGATGCGGGACTCGATCCAGGGACTCCAGGATCATGACCTGAGCCGAAGGCAGTCGCTTAACCAACTGAGCCACCCAGGCGCCCTGCTATAAGAATATCTTAAAGCAGATTTTTAAATGTATTTAATGTATGGGTTTTTTAAGGTAGAGAAGTCTTATCAATCTACTCATTGCTTTTGATTGTCATAGTTCAGAATTTATTAATATTCTTTTTCATGCAAATGCTAACAGGAAGGTATTAAAAAGATTTTGATAATTCTGGGGTTTAGAAAAAATACACCTGGAGCACCTGGGTGGCTCAGTCAGTTAAGCGTCTGCCTTCAGCTCAGATCATGATCCCAGGATCCTGGGATCGAGTCTCACATCAGGATCCTTGATTGGCAGGGAGCCTGCTTCTCCCTCTGCCCCTCCCCCTGCTTGTGCGCTCACGCCCTCTCTCTGTCTCTCTCAACAATAAGTAAATAAAAATCTTTTGAAAAAAAAGAAAAAATACACCTTTCAAATCATATATTTTCTACTAAGCGTTTTACCACTTTGACCAATGTAATTAATCTTTCCTATCTCTCAATATACTGGGATATATTGTTTCTCTCACTTTTCTTCTTATAATTTTTCTCCTTAGATTATAATTATCCCTATATATCTCTTCACCTCTTTCAAGTATCCATACACAAAGAGCCAGTTTTAGACATAGGATGTAGTAGGAAATGTTAGGACTTAAAACAAAACAAAACAAAACAAAACAAAAAAAACCTCTATTATATAAATGTCCCCATCATTTCACAAAACAAAGAACATTTTAACCCCCAAAGGAGAGTAATTATCTTTGACTAGAGGTAAGTTTTAAGTTAAATAAGTTCAGCTTATGTAACATACAATATATTGTAATTGCTTTTCTCATGATGTCTCAGAATGGTATAAACTTTGCTATGGATTTTCAGCAGCCCTCTGGTTTATTGGGAGCACTATTATCATGCTGCCTCTATACAGAACACCTTACAATCAGTGAGAAAGATCAAGGAGTCTTCCAAATTTGGAACCTTGTTTGACTTTCCCTAAATAAAATAGATTGAGCCTATAGTCAAAATGAAATGTGTTGTGCTTTTTGTTATGTGTGTTTAGGGTCAATAACCTGGCAGATTCCCAAATGGATATTCAGGATACCCACTCTCCTTCCTTGAAGGGCCAAAAAATGAGACAAGACATGAAGTGGAATATGAATATGCCCAGATATCATGAGAGAGCTGTTTTTTCTAGATTGAATGAAATTGCTACTATTAAATTTAATACTGGGGTGAGCAAATTCACTAAGAATGTAAACCTAGTATGTTTGGCTTGGGTACAATATGTACACTTTGTTTAATATTTTAACTTAAAAGATGTTTGGAGTTTAGACATAGAAGATCCAGCCAGATATGGACCCCATTAATTTCCTGATGCAGGAGAAATGGGTTCTGGATAAAGATCACAGCTGCTGCTTTCGCCATTAATTCTCAGAATCACTTTGAAAAGTTCTCATTTATTTTCTTTTATGACAAGACCCAAAATTATGGCTGTTATAATCAGAAGATATTGGCTGACCAGATTAGGGGCATTTTCTCATGATGAACCATAGTTTGTGTATCAAAACTTAACAAACCATAATAGTTATATACAAATTTTATGGGGATAGTTCCCTTTAAATTTGACAAATAGATTATGGTTTAGTATTAAATAAAAGAAATAAATATAATTTTGTTTTTCTGATCAGAAAGACTACAAGTATATTAATGAATAAAATAATCTTGATAAGATTTTCAATGTAGTTAGATCAGAAATAGATATTAATCCTTTCCCTTAATATCTTACACAAATAAAATTTTATTCCATCCTACTTATTTTCTTGGCCTCAAGGATATATTTGTATTATATGTGTATATCTAGTGTGATAAAAATTTGGAGCATTTATATTAATGGGTTTCACTATGAATTTCCTACTTGGGTCACCACTCATTGTAATGCTGTGTTTCTCTCCTCTTTTTAGTTTTCACTTTACTGCCAGCAATTTCATTCCATGTTTATAAAGAGAGCACTATTCACTTGGCGCAATTGGAAGTTGATGTTGCTACAGATATCAGTAATTTTGGTTTTCACTTCGTATCTTTTAAGAACTGCACACTCACATCTTGACCTACCCATGAGAGAATTGGACTTGAGTCAATATGGTCAAACAATTGTACCTTACTCAATTTCAGGGAATTCTGATTTGACTCTGAATTTCATAAATAATCTTAAGATTTTTCTAAAACGTAAGAATCAAGAACTTTGGGAAGTGCAAGGTAAGACCCATAGGGAATAAAAGAGACTGCTGCTATATGAAGACCCATTTGTATTACTTACAAAGAAGGGACTTAACTATGCTATTTAGCTACCCATTTCTTTCTTTTCCTACTAATTACCAGTATCTTAGGGACAGCTAAATCAGAGGCAAAAAACAAAAAAGTATACTTCAAGACAACTGGCCACAAAAGTTAATAACTAATGGAGACATTTGGCTGTAGGTTGTCTTTCAGCTAATCACATCACCTTTCAGAGGATGAGTTAAAGAGCCCAAATACTATATTGCTGCGAAATTTAGCGCAAAATTTTTATTCTGATCAAGATACAGAAATGTTTCTCTAGCTCTCAAGGTGAAATGTTGATTCCAAGAGCTGAAGTTTGCCCTTCAGTCTGCTATGTTCATCTTTTAAAAAACAAGTGGCAGAATACTTAATAGATTGACTCCTCAGAACTAATTTTTAGAAAATAGTATAAATAGTTATATTTAATTTGTTCAATGCTTACCTTTGGTAAAAGCCATACTAAACACTTCCTCTGCATTATCTTTCTTAATGATAAAAGCAACCCTTTTATGTAGCTTATTTGTTATCTATTCCTTTGTAGCAAATTACCCTAAAACCTAGTGAATGGAAAATTTGAATTTTTTGGTATGATGGAAGGAACTCCTTCTCTCACAAAAGCAACAAAGATACTTGGAAAACAGTTTTATAAATCAGCCAATTAAGAACACTGTAAATTAACCAAAAGCACAGAACAAACTAAAAGGTCTCTATTCCAAACTACCAAACCTCTATAAAAAGAGTAAGGTCTGTGGCATTTTAACTTAGAACTATTCCTATCACTCTCCCTCCTCAGCTCAGTGAAATGGTAGCCATGAAAAGCCTTGAAGTTGATTGAAAGAACTGATCTATTTAGAGCTGTGTTAAAAGCCCCATCTCTAGAGCACTGTCAATAATTTAACTAAAATAATAGGTCCCTGAAAAACTCCATTCCCAGGGGATTGTTTCTACTGGATTTGAATCAGGGCTCAGCTTTTTTGGAAAAAGCTCTATCCACAGGGCATTAATAAAAACAGGAGCAATCTGCTGGTAACGTCATCACAGTTGGCTAAGGCTGTGATTTCAGTTGAGCCAAACAAGAGCCTGGCCACAAATGAATTTTGAAGGCATACCTGGAGAGCTAGATAACCAAAATGAACTTTGAAAAGTTCTGATATTCCTGAGGATATAGAAGGCTCAGAATGGTAGTGTGTATGACCAGAAATGACCAAGGAAAGAAGACTCCAGTCAGAAAGTTCTAGTTGATGTTGAGACCTGGTCAAGCAAGAAGTAAAAGTTGAAGCTGACTTATAAACTGCCTTAAATTTGAAGTATGCCTTTATACACAGATCCCTTTGGCAAATAATGGAAGACTTACTGGTTCTAGGCATTTAAAGAAATCTTTTAGCTGATTACTAAATTATACTGACCCAGGGATGACTCCTAGGAACTGGTTTTAAAAATAAAAGCCAGAATTTTTTAAGCCTGTCAGAGAAATAAGTGTCTGCACACTGTAGAGGATACAGAATCTACAGAATTAGTCCACATAAGTCACTAGCCAAATGAGCAGCAACAAGTTAAAAAAAAAAAAAAAAGAAAAGGCAATAACAGCAAACAAGAGATGGGGAGGGGAGTTCAGATACCAGAGTTGTTAAACTACTTATCTTAAATGTCCAGTTTCCACAACAACAATAACAGAGAAAGGAAAGAATTATGGGCTGAATTGTGTCCCCTCAAAATTCATAAAATGAAGTCCTACCCCCAGTACCTCAGAATGTGACTATATTTGGATATGGTTTCTGTCAAAAGTAATTAAGTATAAGACTTACTTAGGTCACTAGGGTGGGCCCTAATCCAATATGACTGGTATCCTTATAACAAAAGATTAGGACACAGACATGCATACTCAGAGAAAAGATCATGTGAAGACACAGTGAGAAGACAGCCATCTACAAACCAAGGAGAAAGGCTTTCAGAAGAAACCAACCTTGCTGACACTTTGACTTGAACTTCTAGCCTCTACAACTGAGGGCAAATAAATTTCTGTTATTTATGCCACTCATTCTGTGGTACTTTCTTATGCCAGTCCCAGAAAACTACAGAAAGAAACAACCATATGACCCAAACATGAGGGGGGGTGGGGACTGAAGCCAGTAGATGTCCTTGAGGGAGGCCAGATGTTGAACTTAATACACAAAGACTTTATTTTTTTTTTATTTTATTATGTTATGTTAGTCACCATACAATACATCATTAGTTTTTTTTTTATTCTTATGTTAATCCCC